TATGAAAAATTGATGTGGGTACTCAAATGAAAGGTCTCAATGAGTGTAACATCGGGATGAGCTTATATCTTTAAAAATTTCAATAGTTCACAAGATACAAGGTAATTTCTTAATTATATAGTATATTTTTGATGAATTTTTGTATTTTTCAATAAAAAAATTTATAAAAGTAACCTCAGTAATTTCTAAAAAAAAATGATAAATATTTCCACGAAGTAAATCCAGAAAGTTGGCAACTTCCGATGAAGAATTGGAACGTCATCAGGAATTCGGGATCTGTCAGTTCCAGCCAGTGGATATCCACTTCCATACTTTAGCTGATTGAAAAGTTCACGACTGTTTATTATCGAACAAATCCATTATCTCCGTGGGTTGTTAACAAACACTCGGAGAACTGAAGATAAATATAAAAAGAAAGAAAAATTAATCCCGTGATTTAGTACCTCTTCCATCAGCATCAATCAATACCGGTGAACTATTTCAAGTCTGACTTTGACTTTACTTTTGACAAATAAACATACGCCTTTTTTTTTTCTTTAATCGTTAATCTTCGATCATTTCTCATTTTGTAAAATTATTATTAAATATTCCGAAACTCATTACTCATTATTGTTGCATTGTTGCAGGTACTGCGTGACATTCAGCATCACGAAAGCGTCGCAGAAGTGTACAAAGAAATCGGGACAATCAGAGCTGTCAGAGGGTAAGAGCTTTGGGAAAATAAAAAAATGATAAATCTAGGTAGCAATAAACTCGCCGGAAAAAGAAAACGGGTGAGGGCGAGTCTGGCGAACGAATCGAACTGTAAGAAATAAAAGTTTAAATAGAATGAAAAATGCCGTTATCGAGTCCTAAAATATCGCCCTCGTCATCGTTTTCCGTCTGCTTCTTCATCTCTAACCTAAGAAACTTTTTTCAGACATTTCCGTACTTATTTTTACAGTTTTACTACTTGAGAATTTAGAGTGCCCGAAATTAGCCGCATCGCCCGCATCTATAATATTTAAATTTATTTCTCAGAGGGCACGTGTGTAAAAAGCTTGCAAGACCAGTTCGTGGTAAAATCTAATCGGAAAGAACCGGAATTTAAATCTTAGAGGTCTCGGTAAGGGAAGGGGAGAAATCCGGTAAGTGAAATTACCGGAAGCAGCACTGAGTTCCGCTTTACTTGACGGATAGAATACGCGGGCTTTCGTTATTATTCACTACGTAATATTGTTCCGCATATGTATTATGTATTATGTATTATGGATCATGTACTCATCCACGTGGTAAATACGTCCCTATATGCCAATTACTCCTACGGCACGTGTGATTTATCGTAATGCATACTGGTCATTATGTAATCATTAATTCTGTCTAATTGATCGTAAACTTCGGCTGTCAACCGATTTAACATGCTAATTTCAATATCGAAAAAATATTCAAACTATCGCAGTTTTTTAAAAACACAGAGAAGAAATTTCTTTTGAAAAATATGGACATTCTTCTGAGGAGGAATAATATTTTCTAACAAATTAATTTCTTGTGAAAAAAATTTCATTTTTTAAAAAATAAATGTTTTTCATCAGTATATGAAAATAGTCAAAGGTTTTTTATATAACTTTAGCAATAAAATAAAATATTATGTACTATTCTGACAATAATGGCTAGCAACCTTGCAGTCACTATGTGACTGCTGTGACTTGTGAACTATGAAAAATTGAAATTTTGCTTCATTAAATAATGAATTTGGTTAAATTGCACTGTGCTTTCTTAAATATTGAAGTTTTTAAAAATATAAGCTTATCTTGATGTTACACTCATCAAAAGCTTTCATTTAAGTACCCACATGCATTTTGATATATTTTTCATATATACATATATATAATATATATAAATATATAAAAAATTGATGTGGGTACTCAAATGAAAGGTCTTAATGAGTGTAACATCGGGATGAGCTTATATTTTAAAAAATGTCAATAGTTCACAAGATACAAGGTCATTTCTTAATTATGTATCTAAAGATAAAGGTAGAGAATTGAGAAATGAACTTGTATCTTATGAACTGTTGACATTTTTAAAGATATATGCTTATCCCGCCATTACACTCCTCGAGACCTTTCATTTGAGTACCCACATCAATTTTTCATATATTTATATATATTATATATATATGTATATATGAAAGACATATCAAAAATAAATGTGGATACTCAAATGAAAGGTCTTGATGAGTGTAACATCGGGATGAGCTTATATCTTAAAAAATGTCAATAGTTCACAAGATACAAGTTCATTTCTTAATTATGTATCTAGAGATAGACCATTATTTGAGAGAAAAAATTTGTTTTGAAAAATATGAGCATTTTTATAACAAGAAATTAATTTGTTGGAAATTTTCAATAATTTTATTTCTTAGCTAAAGAAATATAAACTGTTCTTACAGTAATTTTCTTGTTAAAAAAAATTTTTCTAAATTTTCGGAAAAACAATGGATGAAAGTTGTTTGAAATTAATTTTTTTCCAAATTTAGAAAAATTGTTATTTCTTCAGCTAAGAAATAAAATTTTGAACAAATTAATTGTCAATTTACTTAAAAAGAATTTTTTTTCTCAATAAATAATAATATCACCCGAAAAAAAACTCTTTTACCTAAACAATAATATATTTTTATTTGCTCTCAGGTTCAACAGTTTGCGTAAAGTGTGAAACGACAGCATTTATACCATCATTGGACTATCGATGTCGAGGTGACGGGGGTACTGAGGGAATGATAACTCGGTGGAGTTTATTTTCGGAGCCTTACTGTTACGGAAAATGGCAGCGCACCGTAAAAACAGGATCCGAGTGTGATGCTTCTGTGTGCCAACCAAAACCCCATTATATATTTGTCTAAATAATATTTTATGTAAACTTGGATTATTATTTTAATTAAATACTATTGATTTAAAAATATTAATAATAAAAATGAGTTTTATAAGTACCAGAGAAATTTGAATTAAACTAATAAGGACAATTATGATATATTGGATGTAGATATAAAAGCAAGGCTGTAAACAATTTTTTAATTCCATTAATGTAGTATTGGCTCGTCACTTTTCTTCTTAGAATCCTCTGTCAACTGTAGACTAGAGACTGGAACGGAGAATGGGTAACGAGTTTTTATAATTACATTCTCAACTACGGAAGTCCTTCCGACACGTCCCCTTCAATCATCTCTCGGTTGCTCTCAGTGCTTTAACATCGACGAGCTTTTTGAATTTATACTAGTATTTTTTAATTTTAAAATAGCCAAAGTGCAGAGCAAAAATATCATTCAAATGTCGAGCTTTTAGATAATGCAATTAAGGATTTTATTTTTGGTATATAGTAATAATAATAATAATAAAAATTTTATTAAAGTCGCTACCAATGAAAGTAAACAGCAGAAGAAATATCTAATAAATAAAGACGGGGAGGAAGTAGAGTTTATTAAAAAAATAATAATGAAATAAAAAAAGTCCGTAGATATGATAGAGTGGTGAGTGGCGAGGGGGATAAAATACAGTGTGCATTGGAAAGAACGAGGGACAAAGTAACTTCCGGTAAAACTTTTATCCGACTATTGTCGTAAAAATTAAGATCGAGCTAAACTAAAGGAAAAAACGGAAGAAAGATAACTACCAATAAAGGATTATTGGCTCTTTGCTCTGGATAAACCCGACACTCACGTCCTCTAAAACCGAGGCAAAATTTTTCAGCCAATCAGAGGGTTTATACTTATTATAACAACCGTATTTTGGTATGGACCGATAAAATAACGACCAGCTTTTCATTTTCATTCGGTTTATGTCCAGTATATAAATATACATATATACACTGAGAAGAAAATTTCTTTTGAAAAATAGAAACTTTTTTGGGACAAAAAATGGTAATTATCTACAAATGCACAGTAAAAAATTTTTCTTCAAATTTAACACAAAAATTTGTGTTGATAACTTTTTTTACACAATTTGTGTTGAATCAACACTCTATTGTGTTGAATCAACATACTAAAATGTTAAATTCTACACAAACATTTTTACACTTTAGACAATGACGAAAAATTTTTTACTGTGTGGGGTCAACTCCATTTTGAGCCATAACTGGGTTAAAAATTAACATTTTTAATTTTTTTTTATTCTGATAAAAAATGTGAAAGAAAAAAATAAAGATTTCGATAGTTTTTTTGCCTTCAAAAGTTTCGAAAAAATTTTGGCTCATGTTTTTGAATAAAATTTCTATTTTATCTTTTTTTGATATTTTTGGTATATTTTTTTTTTTAAAAGTACACTAAAAAAAGAACAATTGAGAAAAAAAAATTAAATATCTAATTTTCTAGAAAATTTATAACTTTTTTGGAAATTTGTAAAATTTGTTAAAATTGTGATAATGTTCTTTTTTTTTAATTATCCATTTTTTTATGTATTTAAAAAAAATATATCAATAAAATCAAATAGAAATTCCATTCAAAAAAATGACTCCACTTGTAAAATATTTACCCAAAAAATTTTGATTTTTTCAGATAAGAAATTTCCAAAAAAAATTAATTTCTTGTCCATATTTTTAAAAATAAATTTTTTCTCTCAGTGTATGAATGAATAAAGATCCTATGATAAAAAAAACATCACTTTTCTTCTATATAAAGAAGAAAAATAAAATAAAAACTTATTCTGAGTTAATTGGCCGATTATTTAGTGCAATTTTTTACATACGCGAAGATTATGGTGTATTTCTCCACGGAATTCAGGACGTTTCCGTTCTCGTTATTCCAGCTGATCCGAGCGCGAGTTGGCCGGTGTCCAGTCTAGTAGACAAGCTACTACAATGGGACTAACCTGCGTTAGCAGCAGTTTAACTCTCAAGGGAAAGAAGGAACCAGTAAGTCGTTGCACTCCGCCCCTAGCACATATCCTAGCTCTCGCTCTTTTGGGTTTTGTTATTATTTAATAATTATTAATTAATAATTAATAATTATTTAATAATTGTTATTTAATAGTCCCATTTGCTCCAACTTTTATATATAAATATATAAACTCACATGAATGTATTTCATACTTTATACTCGTTATAATACTAAGTTGAAGTTATATATTAATATACATATATAACTCCAAAAAATGGAATTTTTAAAGCAGTTACAGAAATTTATTGCATCTTTTGTTTTGCCATTAAATATTTTTCTGGAGTTTTATCAATTTATTAATATTAGAATTTATATAATATATTAGCAACTTTGCAGTCATTATGTGACTGCTGTAACTTGCGAACTGTAAATAAATAAAATTTTGCTTTATTAAATAATGATTTTGGTTAAATTGCACTGTACTTTTTTAACTATTGACGTTTTTAAAGATATAAGCTCATCCTGATGTTACACTCATCAAGAGCTTTCATTTAAATACCCACATGCATTTTCATATATTTTTCATATATACATATATGTAATATATATAAATATATGAAAAATTGATGTGGGTACTTAAATAAAAGCTCTCGATAAGTGTAACATCGGAATGAGCTTATATCTTTAAAAATATCAATAATTCACGAGATACAAGGTCATTTCTTAATTATCTATCTAGAGATAGAGTATTTTCAAATGCAGCCTAAATACTTATCATCATAAATTGACTATTGGTGAGAATAATATGAAACCATGAAAAGGCACAACTCCAGGTCAAGACTTTTCCAACGATACGAAATTCAACCATAAAAACACATTTTATCATATAAATACACTGGCTACAAAGTTCTGCTTATTCCTTTAATAATAAAGATTTTTGTTTCAATAATTAGTGCAATTCAGTGATTTTAAAAATAAATTTTGCACACTTGATTAATACTTCAGTAAAATAAATTACTTGTGTAAGGATGAATTATTAAGTGAAACTTTTTTTTGGACTTTACCAGAAAATAATTTATAACTGTCGAATCAGAAGATTATAATCTTTTATAAAATTATAAATTCCACGTAAACTTTGCCTTATAATTTATTCTGTAACTCTCCGCACTACTCGATGTAATTATTAATGTACAGCGCATTAATCTGCTGAATGATTCGGTTCGATAAGCAAATCTAGTTAAAACTTATCAGAGATTACTCTGTACAATTTTCCGGGTATTCAGAGAATTTTAGCGGGATTTTCGCTAATGGTTCCCACTTATGCATAAAAAATAAATCACCCTTTGGATTAATAATCATTCATTATGTACAATTAATCTTTTTGTAGATATGCAACAAAGCCCCAAAGTTCCATCATTACCTCAGCTGTCAGATAAATTAAAATGAAACAAATTAAACGAAAGAAGAATTAACTAGAGCGGATGGAAAAAGAGCAGATGTAACCTTAACCCAAGAGGGCCATTTATAAAGTGAAGTATGTCAGTATTATCGTGACAAGTAGTTACATTAATATGGCTGTGTAAGTGAACAGCAGTCAGTAGTCTCGTTAAATACCAAATACAAAGCAAGAGCTACTATACTGCTGTACTATACATAACAGAGCTCACTTTGTCTCAGAAGCCTCCACTCAGAAGCGTAAGCAACTAGACGTTAAACATAACCCTTTCCTCCGAATTAGTCAGACCGTTCTGAGAAATTAATTCCATCTTGTCAGAATAATACTCTGCTCATTGTCTCCGGCAAGATGTCATCCCATTTATTTCCCCGCTAATTATTCCTGCCAGCTTTGTATTTATGCATTGTATATTATAGTCTGCTATCTACAAAATTAACCGCAAGTGTCTTTTACCGATTAATTAATTAGCTTACACTACTCGCTTCGGCATTACGAATTACAAAAGCTCTATAAATAAAAACTTTTTCACTCAACACTTTCATCCGCCCAATACTAGTCGCGAAAATAATCCTATACCATATTACACCGTATATATATCGGTGAATTGTATTGTTAGGTTTTAATAAAGAAAAACTCTCATAAATCACTTGAGTCTGTCGATACCCGGCTGAGGGTTGGATTAATAGTTCTCCGATTTCATTTATTTTTTCCTCACCTTTTAAATAATCAATTGCAGTACACATTTTTTAATTACTGCTTAAATTCGTTCTTTTTAATTTATGAAAATTTAATAACAAAAAATATTTTATTGTACAAATCCATAAAAAGATTTGTTTATATTTACTAGCAAGCTTGCAGTCACTATATGACTGCCGTGATTTGCGAACTATAAATAAATAAAATTTTGCTTTATTAAATAATTAATTCAGTTAAATTGCACTGTACTTTTTTAATTATTGATGTTTTTAAAGATATAAGCTCATCCCGATGTTACACTCATCAAGAGCTTTCATTTGAGTACCCACATGCATTTTCATATATTTTTCACATATACATATATATAATATATATAAATATATGAACAATTGATGTGGGTACTCAAGTGAAAGGTCTTGATGAGTGAAATATCGGGATGAGCTTATATCTTAAAAAACTTCAGTTGTTAAGAAAGTACAGTACAATTTAACATAATTAAAAAATGACCTTGTATCTTGTTAACTATTGACATTTTTAAAGATGTAAGCTCATCCCGATGTTACACTCATTAAAAGCTTCCATTTGAGTACCCACATGCATTTTGATATATTTTTCATATATACATATATATATAATATATATAAATATATGAAAAATTGATTTGGGTACTCAAATGAAAGGTCTTGGTGAGTGTAACATCGGAATGAGCTTATATCTTGAAAAATGTCAATAGTTCAAGAGATACAAGCTTATTTCTTAATTATTTATCTAGAGATAGAGTATTTTCAAATATAGCTTAAATACTGATCATAATAAATTGACTATCAGTGAGAATAATATGAAACTTTGAAAAGGCACATTTAAATCAAAACTTTTGCAA